CCAGATGGGTCCAGGTTGCGCGGTGGCGTCACGACAACCAGGCTAAATGTTTAGGTTCAGATCCGGTATGCTTGAGCAGGAATCAAGCTCCAAGTCGACGCTGAATGAGCTGCTGCAGCATCTTCAACTGCGCGCGCTCGTCATCAGTGGGCGGTGGTGGGTCTGCGTTGGACATGGCGGTGATGACGGCCGGGGGAGCTTCGGACTGTTTCACGTGGATTAGCGCCGAGGATCAAAACAAGGCCGGTGGGCCACAGATTGTCTTACAGTGAGACCGAGGATGAGCGCTTGAACTGTGCCCTCACCCAGGTTCATCTCTGGCGTCTTGTTTGCCAGCTGTGCCAGAGATAGTGCTGCTTGCTGCTGCTGGAAGTTGTGCGCAAGGAAATTTTGCATGGACGCTCTGCGCTGTGATGCAGCTTCTGCGGACTTGCGGGCTTCGGCCTTCTTGACTACACGGCCACTGCGATGTGTTAGTGACTAGTTTAATGAGCTGCTGATGTGACTTTGTATACCTCTTAACCTTGCTGACGAAGTCAAGGATGACTCCCTTCTCCGGAACACGGAAGACCTTGGAGTTGACATCCTTGGGATCGTTGTCACCAAACACATAATTGCCTTCGCCATCAGTGTCGTCGTCAGGGTCGTTAGTGATATCGATCAAGCCATTGTTGCGCATGCCACGTGAAAAGGTGGGCTCGACATATTCCGGTTGCTTGCGCACTCGCACCCTGCGTGGCACCCGAGTTACCGGCGCGGCATCGGCCATTTCAGAATCCCCATCTTTGGAACTCAGGTCGTTCTGCAGCAGTAAACCGCTGCGAAGGTCATGTTCGATATGTCGAGGACACCTCCAGGCATCCCGCTGCGATGCCTCAAGGCTGATGTGTGGTGGGTTAGCGAGAGGCGGGTCGACGCAGTCCAAGTGCCAGTACGCGTGACAAAAGTCACACTTCAGCATTTGACGCTTGTGGCCGCTCGACACTCCGCACTGGGTGCATAAAATGACTTTGTGGTCAGCATCAATAAGCCTGGTGTATTCGGGCTTCTGGTAGCCATAGCCACTGTTCTTCGCTCTGTTGTGATGTTAGTGCCAAATCACGCGACAGAACGCGTCACACTTACAGTGGAAACTTCTTGACCTCCTCAAAATACGAGCCATCGGGACGTGCAGAAACGCCTTCGAAGTTGTTTTGAATATCAGAAGGTAGAGCAAACGCGCGAGGATTTGTGCGCTCAAGCTTGCTGAAGAGGGGACCCAGACTAGGATACGACTCTGCGGCATCGTCGGATGCAGCGAACTTCGTATTGCACTCATAACAGTAGAACGCTCCATCTGGAACCTCTGTTCGCGGCGGATCGCAGCAGAGAAGGTGAAAGACGCGTGGACAGTTTTCGCAGCATACAAACTCGCCTGCGCCTCTACACGCAGAGCAGAAGTCGTCGCTCTCTGACTGTGGCGAGTTCTGACATTCTGTTAGAGGTGAAGAAAGGACAGAAAGTGGAGGAGAATATGGAAATTTGAGCGGCGTGATGTCTGTAGTGAGCAACATTGATGTTGGGGATGAAAAAGAGAAATTGTTGTTGATGAGTTGTGTGGTGGAAGAGGAATGGTGTGGTTGGATGCTTCGGGAATCCAGTGGCACTTACCGGGTCATTGTCATCAGGCCCCAACTGTCTCGAACCGCCACCACCAGTAAAGGCTACACCAGCAATAGGTCCTGCGTCTCGGTTTTTGACCGGCCTATACGTGTAACAGTTAGCCTTGTGATAATTTGATGACATGTACGGAATGTACGATGCAAACACGTGCAAACACGTAGAGCTTGCTCAGTCGACGCTTACAGCCCTGTGCTGAACCGGGTACATGCATCGACCAACGCCGAAAAATTGACAAGGATGCTGAAAAAATGAGCTGAGAATACTTACGATCGTTTTGTCCTGGCGCCCTGCCCGTTGGTGAGCTTGACCCGCTTAGGTGCCGGCCCCACTGCTGGCGTTGAAGGACGCGACGACATGGCAGGCTCAAACTGAGGTGAGGAGAAGCGTGACGGATCCTCTCGCAGGCGCTTGGTTCCATGATTTGGAACTCGTCCGGCGCGTCGTGGTTGATCAGAATCAACAGGTGGTCCCACGGCGATCTGAGAGTCGGTCAAAGACTCAGTCTCGAGAATCTCGTCATCAAAGCGAACATCAGAGACGGGAGGAGGGAACTGCTCGAACTTGCGAATAGGCTGCTGGTCCACCATAGCCTTTCGCATCTCATAGATTCGGTCATCTTCCGCTTGCTGTTCTGCGGTCGGTGGCTGCTGCTTGTAGGCATGCTTTCCAAAGAGCTTCCCGGCATTGCCTTTCATCTTTTTAGCAGCACGCGCAGCCGCAATATTCTTGCCCTTCTTGGGTGGCACGACAGGCGCAGGTGCAGCGGGTTTCCCATTGACCTGCACAGGCTCTGGAGGGCCTTTCTGGACTATCTCTTCGTTGACATCCGACAGCTCAGAATCGCTCCCACCGGTGTCCGGTGTCCTCGCTGCTGGAGTGGGTGCTCCGGTCGACAATCCTCCCTCCACATCCATTGCAGAATCCTGGGCCTGAGTTCCGTTGGTAGCGGTGCGTTTTCTGGGCGACTTGGACGGCTGTCTCGGCGTTGACTCATTTGAGGTATCTGCTGTGGCTGGAAGAGCGGGTGCGCTGCTGAATGGGTGAGGTGCTTGACCCGAATTTTGGTCAAGAGCTGACTGCAATGCTTTGTGGGAAAAGCTTGTAGCCGAATTAGTAGAGTCCATGAACTTTCGATCTTGGTAGTCGTTGACGGCGGAGGCAGAGTCATCAGGAACAATTTCACTACTAGCCCTAGGAGACGGCTGCTGACTGAAGAATGAAGCTCCGTGATTCATCGCGGATTGCTGGTCAAAGCGCCCGTTCTTGCCCAAACCCATCCTCGCCTTTTCCTCTTTCTTGAACTGCTTGATGAACCTGCGAAATCGGACCATCTGCGCATTGGTGCTGTTTCTTTGAATAACCGATTCGATCGCGTCTGCCAAGTTGGAATCGATTTTGCTCTGCTCGTAGGCGCGCCTCAACGCAATGCCCACGTAGCGCTTGCCCGAGTTGCTGTTGGCTTTGGAAATCGCATCGTTGACCGCAATCTGAATGCGCTGAGTCGCAGCCTCAACCGGCTCCGACATGGAGACTGCCTGTACTGCCGGGCTCGCGGAAACCGAGGCGCTCTTGGTGTGACCGATTTTCGTTGTGGGCGTCTTGCCGTTGACAGGTGTCTTGCTCTGCACTGGGGTCTTGCCCCTGACGGGAGTTTTCGACACCTTCACTTTCTTCTTCGGTTTTGTCGCGGGCTCGTAGTCGTCGTCCTCGTCGTCTTCTAGGATCGGGAAGGCGGCCTGCATCTCTTCCTCCTCCTGCCGCTCCGAGTCGTCAGGCTCGAGCTCAGGAGCTGGAGTGACCTCTGGCGTCGACCCAACCTCGTCACCACCGAAACCCAAGCTCTTGCCCAATAGCGAATTTCGGGCAGCCGGCCCGTCGAGAGCGCGCGCGCGCTGCTTGTCCTTGGCCTTTGGAGGGACACCGAGGGGGGCCATATTCTCCAAGACGCCGTGCCGCGCAAACCCGTGCTCTTCGAAAGATGGGGCCAGAGTTTGCGGTTGGGGTTCAGTCCACTCGGTAATTGAACGCTGTTTCTTCTCGTTGACGTGCTCGCTCGGGGTGCCGGTGGGTGAGGCGTAGGGCGTGGTGCTGGACCTTTGTTGCGATTTGAAGTCGCGCGACTCCCGGAGAGACTTGCGGAGGGCCGGCATGGCGAAACTACAGTTTGGTCAGCGCGCTATAATAATCACGAAGACGGTGAGACTTACTTCACGTGTTGTCCGAGAATTTACACGCCGCAATGCCGTGCCCGTCGTTGTGGGTCGGTAGTGCAGGAATGAGAGTCGCTGAAGGTTGTTCGAGGGTGCCCTGGACGCTTGGACGGACCTTCTTATTATGTCAGCCCCCTACGCATGCGCAAACATCGCCATGTCTTACTGTCGTCAGGAATGAGATATATAGATAGCCGGAAGCTTCTTCGATTGTCGGATTGGTTTTTCAGTTCTGACAAAGGCGGGGTGCGGTGTTGGTGTAATGATACCAAAGAATCCATGATCTTTTGTCCGCTTTTTCCCTGACGTGCCCAAGTTCACCTTCACCAATCGCCACTTGCAGATCGGGTCGTACAATACGTGGACGCGCGCCTGAATAGTGAGGATAGTATTGACATTGTTCCTGACTTCACTTCGATAAATCTCTATTGCACAATCCTGTCTTTGCATGATCTACTCAGGGGTAAATTCTGTTCCATGCTTTACCTCACTCTATACCATGCCTGGCTCTCCGCCTCGAGCACCATAGCTTTCTTGTGTTGGAGCGAACAACATAGCCATGGATCTCTTGAAGTCTCTCTTGCTTTGCCATGTCCAGCGTTTGGGAGGGACGATAACATGACGGAAGGACAAGATAAATAGAATACAAGAACAATGACGCGAAGCCGACCAACATCCGCTCCACCCTTCGTCATAGATGCATCGAAAACAAAAAGCCCCTTCTGAGATGACTGACATGTATGTCGCGTCCATGGCCGCTTGGAAATGAGGAGGATGAAGCTGTGTTCGACTGCCAAAGACTCCCCAGACCACCTGGTACGATCTCAGTCCGTGAGCTGTCCGTAACTCCTTGAATGCGCGTGTGTTAGCTATCAGATTCTACATTAGTCAATATCACGCATACGAAGCGAAAAATGCTGGCCGGTAAATAGGTGTCTGTTTTTTTTTTGGTTTGTTATCGCTTCTACTTGATCAAGTGCACGAGCACAAGACAAAGCACATCAGACCTGAGTCTTTTGCCGATTTTCTTTCCGATCCTGCCGTTTTCTGCAGTCACCAAAAAGGTCCGTGTCATCCAGGCTCATAGTCGAGAGGCGGGTATGGCGTCAAGGTCTCCGCAAGCTGCGTCTACTCCTCGTCGTCACTCTCCTCCTCTTCGGCAGGAGCAGCACCGCCGTCAGCGGCCTTCTTGGCGGGCTTCTTCTTCTTCTTCTTGTTCTTCTTTGTCGAAGTCTTTCCAATGGGCTGTTCGAGAATCTTGAGGATCTCCTCGTCCTCAATCTTCTTGTCAGACTTGTACTTGGAGGTGTCGATGGCAGTGGGTTGAGCCAGACGCTGCATGCCGTTCTTGGTGATCGCTGTTAATACGTTAGCTATTGAAGCAAGTCTCATGATCCTTCGAAATCAAGCAAACGAAGGTGGGAATATGGAGATCGAGCAATCGACCACATCGGCCAATATCGGGCATCTCCGTGCACAGACAGAGCAGGGGAAATCCTCGGACTTACCAACAGTGCTGAACAACCTAGCTACGGGCTGGTTGTCCTTGTCAACGACAACTTCGTACTGGCGGAGCACACCTGTGCGGACACATTCGACGACACCAACCTTGGCAGCCTTCTCGTCCTCAAGCTGGCGCAGACTGAAGGGGAAGGTGCCGAACTTCTTGACAACTTCAGACAACAGGCTTCGCGAGGTAGGGCGCTTGAGCTGGTAGGTGGTGGCTGTACGTCGGTGCAGAGTGGTCCTGTTGCTGTTGCTCTTGACCTTGCCGCTTCCGAGACTGACACCCATCTCAACACCCCACACTTCGCCGACCTCAGGGAGACCCTCTCCTCTGACACCCTCGCCGGGCGCAAGAATGATCTTCTTCTTGGACTCGATCTCGTTGTGGTCGAATTGCCAGATGGTGGTGCTCTCGACGAGGTTGCAGCCATACGCCTTGACAACCTTCTCAAGCATGTTGGTCATTTGGCTCTGGGTGTAGGCCTTCTTTGACGCAGCCTTCTTTTGCTCCTCCTCGTCGCCGTGGGGAACCAAGCCTGGGGGTACCATCAACCTCAGCAGAAGCTCGTTCGCGTAGTGTGTAGCCAGAATGAGATCTGCCTCCCGTCCGGTGACCTCGTCGGCAGCTCCGACAATGACATTGTCGCAAACGATCGCGCAGAAGCCATCGATCTGGGCACCCAGCTGGATCTTGACAACCTCTCCCTCCTTCAGTGTCACGGCGGCTTCCTCGGCATCGGTCTTGAGTGGTGTGTACGGGGTGATGTAGGCGCTCGGCGAGATGGTGGTGCAGTGTCCAATGCCCTTGAGGACCTTCTTGCCCTTGTAGACCTTGGCGACCTCCTCGTCTAGGAGCTTGTCGCCGCGCTCACAGAGCTCGACAATGCTGGCATCAGCGGCGATCCATCCTGGACTGGTCAGTTTATGCTCGTGTTTACGCGCGGGAAACGAGCGCAGGTGTGGGGAGCGTCGTACCGGAGACCTCCTTGAGGACTTTCTGGGAGATGTCGGCGGCGACCTTGTACTTGGTGATAGTATCTGGGTTCGCCAGAGTGTAGTCTGCAATATGGGTTAGCTTCTGCGACTCATTGACAGCACAAAACTGAGGCCGAAGCTATTTTCGTCTGAATAGCTTCTCATGTTGATGACATTAATAGCGAACAAGGATCGAGCTTACCGACAGCTGCTGTTTCGGCCATCTTGAGTATAGTTGAGTGTGGGAAGATGGTCTAGGAGCTAGAATTGGAGTGGTGCGCGAGGTCGTTCCTGTGTTCAGACCAGCCCCTCAGTGGGGTGCTTTCGAGCTTTCGCTTAGCCAGAGCCCAATGACGATGATCGCCTGACAACGTCACACTCGACCTGCTTTGCTTGTTCCTGGATAAATAACCTTGGGTATGGAAACTGGACTTGTGATCATCTGAGTTATGGTTTCGAGCTCGTATATGTGGTCTAGGTTGGCATTTCCATGATTGCAGTGGAACTTCACTACGGTTATGCCGCTGTACACTTCTACGTAAGCCACGCTTATGACAGCTTCGACAGCATGCCAGACATTTGACGGTATCAAATATAGTGTTCCTGGCAAATCAATGAAATGCATTAGCCTGAACATAACCATGGCATTAATGTGATACCAGCGCCACAAACAGCTCCATGACCAGCCCGAACCAAGGCCAGATCCCAGTCTGAGTCAAAGGCGCTTTCTACTCTTCGTTTAATGTTCCACTCTAAACCTCCAAAACCCCATCCACAACCACCGCGCGATGATCACTAGCATAAACCCCATCTTCAAACCGATTCGGCAACACACTATACCCCTCAACACCCCAATCTCCCTCTCCCCTCGGTCCCACAAACACAAAGTCAATCAGCGCCTTGTCCACATCATCGAAAGCCGTATACGTATTCTCATCACCATACAGCCACTTAGCCTGCTCCTTCGTATCTTGCAGGAGAGACGACGCGTTATTCAGCATCATGTACGCATCATCAGTAATCTCAGAGTTGAGGTCGCCAGCCAGGAAGAAAGGTAGACCAGTAGACGAGTAGTTTGACGCCGTGGAAGCGATATCTGCGGCAATTCCTTCGATAATCTTCGCAGATTCGCGGCGCGAGATGGCGCCCGAGTTGTCGAAATGCGTTGACATGGCTACTATTTCCTTCTTGCTTATCATGTGCTTGAACGTGCCGATGGTCACGATGCGAACGGAGCCTGCGTCCCAGCCTTTCTTTCCAACGGCGCCGTCTTCGTTTAGCCAGACGGTCTTCCAGGTCACGAGTTCCCAGACGGCTGGGCGGTAGATGACGGGGCTGTATTCGCCTTCGGTTTTGCCGTCGTCGCGGCCGACGCCGATGTAAGCCCATTCGTTGCCGAGACCGGCCATTATGTCGACGATCTGCTCATTGAGTACTTCTTGCAGACAGATGAAGGCTTCGGGGTTGTGAAGAGTGTTGTAGTGCAACTCATTGAGGATCAGCTGTTTCCGTGTTGACCAGGGCTTCTCGCCTGCGGCGGGTGGATCGGCGGCATAACGGATATTGTGGGTTAAGATTCGGATTGGGAGGGTAGCAGCTTGTGCTTTCATGATGAAGGCAAGCAGGGTGGTGACAAGAAGCGCTGCGTTGAACATCATGACGACAGGCTACTAGGTAGGTATTACCGGAACCGAACACGTGACGGAGTGAAGCGGGGACGATGTTCTCTCTGGCAACGACTGCGAAGAAGGCTTGCGGTAAGGAGATGAATAGAGGCCTTCACAGTATCGAGAGATGGCACTTGCACGGCCTTGATATGAACAACTGTAATTGACGCCTACCTACATCGCTGCGTCGAAGACTACCAACCCTACTTATACTTTACAAACGACACCAGCAACTAAGAGAAGAAGGAAGGTACTCAAAATAGTGCCGCATAATGACGAAGGCTTCAAACTATGCCAACCCTCCGTGCTATAATCCAAGAGGGGCCCAAATTTCCGAGTTGTAGCCGACAAATGAGAACGCCGATAGACAAGCACGTTGTCCGCATGCGCAACTCCACGTGATCCGCTGTTTTTACACGGGCTTCTATACCCTGGATGCGCTTGCCAATATGAAAAAGACCCCGCTATGCTTATCTGAATATCATTTCCTGTTTGCGCAGACAGGCAATCTGAATGCTAAGCCTACAATGGCTGACCAGTCCGTTTGCGCACGTTCTCCATGTGTACGCGGTTCTTCAGATGTAATTCAAAATTATTGACCGTTTGTTCGGGCCCAGCATTGTACAGCTTTCCTGGGCAGTCTATGCATCGGATTCGCGGGAGGAAGTACGCTTTGTGGTTTGCTGGCAGAGGAGCGGTTGGAGATAGTGTATCTAGCTTGACTTGTCTGGACACCATCTCGCCAGTCTTCGGGTCCTCGTGGCGCTCGTTCATGACTGCGTAGCGCATGGTAGATTCGAAGAGCTCCCCGGGATTCTTATCGCGTAGGTCTTGAAGGGCTTTTTGGAGCCATGGGGGAGTGGGAGGCTAGTATGGGTCAGATATGACTACAGGGAAGCAAGGAGAGATCTTACATGTTGTGAGGTGGCGGGCGTTGGCCAAGGTGCTTCTAACGAGCCATCCGGCTTGTAATTCCATTGCTTGTTTGGTGTCGTTGGTGTGGGTGTGGAAGGTGGTTTCGGCGAAGCTTCAACGGATGTCGGTACTGTCGGTGTGGAGCGGGAAGGCATGGCGGGTGACGGTGGAGGGGGCATCGAGTTTGCGGTAGGCGTACCCCGCGTTGGTGGTTGCGAGAGTGTCATCATGGGAGTTCCAGCGGGCTTTACGAAAGCTCTTGGGTTCCTTACCCATTCCCTGAACTTTGCGGGCGTTATGCGGAGTTTGACTATTAGTGATGTGGGTTCAGATACGCTCTCTTCCCGCGCTTCATACCGTAGGGACCTCGACGCCCGTGGCTCGTGATGGGGTGTTTGGATATTCGAGACTTCGGGAGTTGCTGATCTTCCAATGGCGGATCGCATCGCAGCTTGAGCAGCAGTAGCAGCTCCGCGCATACCACGGGTACGAGCAGTGCCTCCAGTCATCAATTGAGCAGGTGCGGGAGACTCCATGACTGAATCATCACTATCTGAATCGTCTGAGCTGCCATCAGCACCGCGACGACGGCCTTCTCTGGCTTTGCGCGTGGCCTTGAAGAGTTGACTGTCCTCAATCGTTTCCGCAGCGCCAGGCAGCACTGATGAAACGACCAACGTCCGAACAGTCCGTTGGCGGTCTTTGAGGTCTGGCAGGGCAGGGCCACCGCGTCTGTTGACGGAACGCTTCTGGCGTCGCTGTTCGCGCATGATTGAAAGTTCGGCTCGCTCCAGGTCCGCATTGCTGAGTTCGTAAAGGTAGGGTTGGTAGTCCTTTGTTGACTGCATCGGGCGGAATACGGAGGGAAGTGGTGATGCCAGGAAGTTGTCTTGTATGTCTGTATCTTCGACTGGTCGCCCGTCGAAGGGATGTCCTGTGATGTAAAGACTTTTTGTAAACATCTGGCACTGCTCTCTTATGGAATGTGCGATTGCGGTTGTGAACTCTCCGGATAGTGACAAGTCGGCGGCCATCTGTCTCGCAAACTCCTCAGGCGCATTCAGAGGGTTGTTGATCTCCCACTCAAACTGGTCTACGAGGGTGTGCTGGCCAATCGTAATGTTCAGTTTGATCAATATCCGCATCTCATCGTTCTTGTATGCCGAGTATGGCTGATGTGGATCCAGTGGCTCGTCGTCGAAGAAGGCGTGGGGGTAGTAGTCTTGTACCTGCTCGTGAATTTCGCGATCGATTTGCTGCATTACGTTCTGGCGCAGTTCGGGCGGTATTTGGAAGTCTTCGACGAGGGTTTGGGCGAAGAGCACGGGGTTGGTAACGCGGTCGTGGAGGTTCCAGGTAAAAGTATCGCGAAGCTTCAGTCTATCCAATTCGATATCCAAGCGCACAGGTACAAGCTCCTCAATCTGGTCTGCTTGCTGGAGCCCCTTCTCTTTCGAAACCTTGAGCTGCGGTGCGAGTCGACGGCCAGCGCGCTTGGCATTCTCAGGGTATAGCAGCTTGGTTTGCGGTAGGGCGCGCGGGTCTCTGGGGTCGGGGGGTATCTCGGTCAGGCCGTTGCCATAGCCAGCGTAGCCATATCCAAAGATGGCGCCGGGGTTCTGTCGTCGGACCGGATATACTTCGTCGCGGTAGAAATGGCGCAGGTCGTTGAGTTCGCCATAGACCCTCTCGGAATGTTTGTTGCGTTCGTACTTGTTTACACTGTCCAACAGGTCGCGCTCGATGTAGCGGTTGAGGAGGTGCGTCTGCGAGGCTGTGGGGTTCGCGCCGTCGTCGTGGGAGGGCGTGTGCGATGATTTGCGGGTGCCCGAACGCGATCGCTTTCTGCTGGGCGACGCGCCGTTGATGGCTTCGGGTTGCGCGGGCGATGCCATGTCGCCTTGCGCGCCGGCGAGGTTCAGACCAGAGGCGGCCATGACGGCCTTGGCTTTCTGCTTGCCGTCTCGGATCGCGTTGTTGTCGTTGGACGCGCCGTCGGGTCCATTGATGCTGGTCGGGGCGTTGGCGGGCTGGACAGCACCTTCACTGTTGATGCCGTTGGCGGACGCGCCGTGGGCAGGATCGAGGGACTGAGAGTCGGCTAGCGGCGGGGAGGGCATCGCGTAGGAACTGTGGATGCGCGCAGCAGGAGCGACCTGCGTGTTGCTGCCCTGGTTAGAGCCGAGGCATGGAGGCTGGAAAGAGTGATGGAGGCTCGAGTGGGTCAATGGGCGTCCCAAGCGGTCGCGCCTGCCAGAAGAAGGGGGCGGACGTGCGATGCGATGGCGACAGCAACACCCGCGCCGCCATCTCCAGAAAGCGCATGCATCGCGCCGCGATCACGCGAATAAATAGCAGCAATAGAAAAAACACATACCTTTGCGAGCATGCAATTTGCGCGTCGTCACAGGTCACAGGGCTGGGCTGGGCCTCTGTTTGGCTGTCCAGGGAAAGAAGTGCCGATCGGGTAGTCAAGCGCGCAGCAGCCCGTCTGTAAGCCTTTCACAGGCGAGAGTATTGGCAGGAAACCTAAATCGGCGAAACACCTGCTGCGGTACCTTGGGCGGGGTCGCGGCCGTGGATAAGCTCGGAATGATGTGTTGTGTGTCAGGCAGAGGCATTGATGGATTTGCGCCTCGCTCCCACTTCCCGCCGCTTGCGAGCGCCGAGCCAGCCAGCCCATGACCACACTGAAGCTCGTCGGCACGCTCCCACGCACCCAGCGTCTCTGCCCGGCGTGGTTCTTTTCACGAAAGCAGAGGCCATGCTCTCCCGACTGTTCCACATAATTACACCTGCACTCCATCGTCTCCACGCAGCCCATCACGTGTGACGCCATGACGAATGCTAGCGCCTACCTAGACCGGTAAGCTCAGAGGAAAAGCCACTCGTGTAATGCAGTGGATCTTGTTCGTTATCGAATAAAGGTTGTATTTTATGGAAAGACCCGCCTAGTAGAAGAAGATAAGAAGCGTCTGGTAGTACACCTCGTCACCGCACTCTGACGCCCTCGCCTCCAGATCCATCCTAGTTGCATCAATGCTAGAAACTGACAATACCTAAACATTTCCATCCAGTCCCGGCCCGGACACGCCGCCGCTTACAAGTTCGCCGGCTATATGCGTCTGCTTTGCTTGCGATAGATACTCAAACGTGCAGGTTCGCTGCTGAGACATGCGCTCCCCTGTTGCTCAGTAAACTCGCTGCTCTCGTTGTATACCCTGCGCTCAAAGCAGTGAGTCAAGTCGAGTGAATACACTCAAGCATGCTGCGACAACCTATGGTAAAATAGTCAGCGCTCTGTCATGTTGAATGAAAACAAAACAGCGATTGACTTACCTCAAGCTGGAGCTCCTTATCCTTGGAACCGTTAACTTCGTCCGTGATGAGCTGACCCAAGTTTGCGCCCACACCCTGCGAGCCACCCTGCCTCTTTGCAAACGGCCACTGCGAATATTCTGCCAGCAGCTCGTCCACTTGAGCAAAAGCCCGTTCCCGCGCTTCGTGACCCAACGTGGTCAGGGCGTTCTCGAGGACGTTGGCGGCATAGGCGGCGCAGACCATGGTGATTGTTCGGAGCACCCTGAATTCCAACTCCTCGGGGAGGAATTGGCTGCCAGGGAGGACGACGGTGCGGTTTGTGAGAACGTTCCGGACTCTGCGTCGAATCTCCTCCTTTGCGCCGCCGTCTGCGACGGGATGTGTAGCCATGTCGAACAGGAGGAAGTTCTTCTTCTCGGTGCGCAGGATGCCCTTGTCGACGAGGCCTTTGCATAGTCGTTCGCGTACTTGTTTTAGTTGGTAGCCAATCTTCATGAGGTTCCACGTCTCTCCTGTGTGTACAGTTAGTGCCGAGCATCAGCCTTGGGATTGCGCGCCGCAAACGTACCGCTCATGAGGTCGATCCACGAGTTGACGCTCATCTTCTCGCTCGACTTCATCATCTTCAGGGCCTCATCCAGCAGAACCTCTCCGGTCAACGTGTCGTCAATAACCTCGATGACCCGGTCTGCGAGGGGGAACCGTCGCCGATTCGAATCCTTTTGCATGCTCACGCGGCCTCGGAAGGCCAATTCTATGACGATGCAGCCTCGCAATGCATAGGAGATGTTGTCGTTCCAGAACGACAGGTATCCCTATTCTCACTCATCAGCCTGCTGCCCCTAGCCCACCAGCGCCCTGCGGTGTACACACCTGTTTGTCCTTCAGCCCCATGAGGATGATTTCCTCCATGAGCGTCAGCTTGGGCTGCTTGCTCCTCTCTGCATTTTCGCTAATGTCCCGGGGGTCGAATGCGATCTTGTGGCCATTCTCGGAGCTTTCGTAGGAGGTTTCGGGGGTGCGGTCGTCGTTGCGCTTGGGTGCTGGCGAGCTGACTCGGCTGCTCTCGTCTTCGCCGTTGCCTGCAGCGCCGCCGCCTCCTCTCCGGCGCGTCAGACCAGAGCTAGAAGCCATCAGGTGTGGTTGTGGAACGGGAGGGGGGTCTCGTTGAAATTATGCGTGATGCTCCTCAACGGGCGCAGGGATGAGGGCGCTTGGGCTGCGCATGCGCGGTGTCGGACTATGTGGGACTTTCGGTGAGTGCGATGTAGGAGAGGGTAGCGGGCACGGCGATGTAAAGAATAAGGGGTATCGCAAGGCGCCTGTGTGAGTTACGCGTTGGGGGTTGATTCTCGTGCCACATCAATCAGCGGACAGGGTGTCGGTCTCGGATGTGCCAAGATTAGTTACGCACGCTTCGGAGATCAAGTAAACAGGCGTCCAACAACACAATAGCCAAAGCACTGGGAGGTGGATAGCGTCAATTCTATCAGAAGTACACGGTGCCGACCCAGGCGACTGTTTTACACGGGGGCATATATATAGCGATGCCGGTAGGACCGACTCTCAATTCCACATCCATCATCTCCAATCCAGCGCGGCTCTCCAATATAATTTAGTGAGCTGCGATGTGTTAGTTTCGGGCAACTTCGGGATTTTCAAGTTGCGACTCACCATCGGGCTGGGCCATGATGTAGTCCACTGCTTGCTTGACTGTGATATCATCAGTATGTATATCTCCGACCCTGCATCTGAACGTACCGCTGTGGATGGCATCGGCCTCCTTGTCGGGGATCTCAATGCTGAATTCCTGCCTCACTGTCAGATTTGCCTTCCGTGTATCGTACGCGGACCGACTAACCTCCTCAATCGCCATGACCACCTCTACGGTATCCAGACTGTCGAGACCGAGGTCGTTGTGGAAGTGCGATTCGGCGTTCAGCTGCAAAATGTAAGCCTTTGTCTCCAATCCCTCACGCGCGGTTGGTAGCTACCTTGGAGGCATCGGTGACCTGCTTCTGCGTTAGCCACTTTCTAAAATTCCCGTCGCATAGCCATTACCTTGTCGAAGTTCTTCAAAAGGTCCATTATCCTGCCGGTGACCTCATCTTTTGACAGACCGGCGCTCGCGGCGTAGCATCGCACGGCCTGGAAGTATACGGAGGGGTTCATTTGCTTTGGCTGGACGAAGGAGCTTCGCGCAACGGGGCGAGCCATTGCGGCCTGGCATCGTGGGGCAGCGCGGACGGCGGACCGGGCGGACCTGAGGAGTGCTGTTCGGAACATGGTGGACGGTTTAGGAGTGCGTCGTGCGAGGTAGCAAGGTCGGTGGTGGTGGTGATGTTGATGCTCGACTAGAACTTCAGACTAAAGTTACATTACGTTAGTCAGCCGTCAAGAGCATTTCCGTACGAGTGAACAGGCGCACCTTGAATTATCGCAACAGGTAACACGGATATCCGAGAAAGACTTGGAAATCATTCATATACCCTGCTACATCACCTGAGTCAAATTTCTGACCTCGGAGTTGCCTCCCACCGTTGTTGCCGTCATTCGACTTGTCGGCCAATCGCAGCCTCCGCGTTACAAGCGACGACCTCAAGTTTCGAGCTTGACGACAACCTCCATATCCGCCAGCAACCCCCCAACCCGCCAGCGACTCCACCACGCTCACAATGGCCAGCGCAAAGCCATTGACAATGTTGGCACGCAGCCGCCCAGCTGCCACGCTGCTCCGGTCACCACAGTTCGCGTCTGGACGCCTCCCCTCGCCCGCCACCGTCGCCTTCTTCTCTACCACCCTATCCCGAGCCGCCACCCCAGCAGGGCCCCCGCCGCCAGGCTTCCGGTTACCCAAGCCCAAGCGATGGGATGAAGGAGAAGGTGCATTGGACCGCGCCGGCAAGTACTTCTTGCTCATGGAGATGTTCCGCGGCATGTATGTGTCGTTGGAGCAGTTTTTCCGCCCACCGTGAGTACTCCAATCAGCAGACTGTTCGTCTGCCACCTGGTCGCAATACGGTAATCTGACGTTTCTGAAGATACACCATCTTCTACCCATTCGAGAAGGGCCCCATCTCACCCCGCTTCCGAGGCGAACACGCCCTGCGACGGTACCCTACCGGTGAGGAGCGTTGCATTGCTTGCAAGCTCTGCGAAGCCATTTGCCCTGCACAAGCCATCACAATCGAGGCCGAAGAGCGCATGGACGGTAGCAGGAGGACCACACGCTATGATATCGACATGACCAAGTGCATCTACTGCGGTCTCTGCCAGGAGAGCTGCCCAGTCGATGCCATTGTTGAGGGTATGTCGACACGTCCCCTGAGCACGCCGATCGAGTGCTAACATGATACAGGACCTAATGCTGAGTATGCGACCGAGACCCGCGAGGAGCTACTTTACAACAAGGAGAAGTTGCTAGCAAACGGAGACAAGTGGGAGCCTGAGATTGCCGCAGCTGCTCGTGCGGATGCGCCTTACAGATAATGGACGGGAGTGATTCGGAATTACTGTACATATAAGGAGCGGTTGCGTCTGACACAGCCAGTCAGATTTCTTTTGTCAATGCATCAGTAAACAATATCAAGCTCACTGAGACCATGTTCAAGAAGACACTGAGATACATGGAATTGACGGACGTGCTATTGTGACGGAGTCGATCTAGATGCATTACTTTTGATTTGCAAGACAGCATTGGCATTGAACAAACATTCTCGAGAGAAGACAACCTAATATTCAAGATCATAATACTCCTAACGCTCATACGATGCCTGCCATGATATGGTATCAAACGCCAAATGTCTGCCTATAGTATGCATGCCGCCACCCTTTCCTTTTATATACCTTGATTCCGCCCAGCCTCATGATCATCTCGCCTTGAATGTGCCTTCAAAGCCCGGTCGCTTGACCTTCTTGCCGGGCTTCTTGACCTTCTTTTTGCCCTTTTGACCCTTGTCATCCTTGCGCTTCTTGAGGTTCTCCTCCCTCTTCTTCTGTCTCGCGGCCTTTCCTTGGTCCACGTTCGTGAGCCTCTCCTTCCACTCTTGCTTGCTCTTGTCCTTTTGTTTTTGTTGACGCTTCAAGCTCTTCTTCAGAAGGTTGACGTCGTCGAACACCTTCTCGCCCTGTGCCCTCTTCTTGGCGGCCAGCCATAGATCCTTCTCTTGAATATCCTTGCGCTTGTCCTCGTCAAAGGCGTTGATGCGAGCCTGTTTCTTTTGCGCAGCCTCTAGTGCTGTCTTCGCATCTGACTTGCCCTTCTTCTTCTTGGAGTCGAGGAATCCAGAGAGATTGCTCTCAAGCTGTTGGCCGTCCCATGCGATCTTGCCAAAGTTGAAGTTGCGCTCAGTCTCCGGCGACCTCGCTGGGAATACAGAAGGTGAGCCCGAACCGCCTCTTATCCGGGCGAGCTGTTCCTCTGCTTGCTGTCGCGCCTCATCCTCTTTCGCATCCTGACGCATGGCCTTCTTCGCGGCCTTCTTTTCGGCTTCCTTCTTCCTGCGCGCCTCGATCAGCTCTGCTCGGTTGCGTGCAGGGCGTCCATCTGGGCCGTCAGCCTTTCGCGCCGCGCGCATGGCCTCTAGTTTCGCGTTCAACCGAGCGCGGAAATCCTCATGTTTCTGTGGATCGATCGTGTATGGCTTTTTAGCCTTCTTCTGTGGCGCTTCCTCGCCGGACTGAGGTAGTGAAGAATTTGACGAAGCGGCGGAGGCGACGGAGGCTGTGGAGGAGTTGGAATTGGCAGTAGTGGAGGGAGCAGTAGACTGACCCTCTTCGACGAGACCGGAGACGTCCAAGGCCTCTATGCGTTCGTCTGGATGTTCGAGTTCGTCTGCAGACGCGTCGTCTTCTTCATCTTCATCCTCGTCCTCGTCATCGTCCTTTTCAGACTTTTCGGCGGCGAGACCTTGGAACTGCGTTGGTAGCGCTTTCTTCGCTTCCAGCTTTTGCTTGTTCTTGGCCTGCTTCTCCTTCCTCTTTTCTCTCCGCTTCTCTGCTTTCGCCGCGTGCTTGGCCTCCGCCTTGGACAAAGTGACTTCTTCGGTCTCTTCTTCGGCTTCTGGCTCAACAGGCTGTGTCTTTTGCTTCTTTGCCTTGCTCTTGATGCCCTCAAGAGGCTTCTCCTTTGTGATGTCCATGTCAAGATCGGACGACTCGGGCTCGGAAACCTCCTCACCCTCCAATTCACGCTTCCGTTTTAGCGCGTTCTCGTCCATGACGTCTTTGGCGCTCTTGTGGGAGGCAGGATCCAGCTTCGCTCGCTTGGCTGCTTGTCGTTCTTCGAGAGTCTGCTTCTTGCCTTTCTTTTGCCATTGCGTCTGCAGACATCATGTCAGCATAAGGCGATGCCTGAGGGGAAGAGATGCATACGCTGGTGATGCTCTCATCCTTGCCATAGTAGTCTTTGGCGGGTATCAGAGACATGAGTCCCTCAAAGGCACGAGCATGGCTCTTTAGACGCTCCTGCAGCTCTCAGTTAGCGGCGAGAGCAGGCGACAGGAGACTGCCCGGTGCATACCTCGAGATTGTCGCCCATTGCGAGGACGATAGACGCAGGATCCTTTTCGTAATGTGATATGTCCTGTTTCAGACGGGTAGAGGGCGCAGAGTTGGCGGGGCGAGCGTGTCGTGTGCGGGTCGCGAAAATCGAGGTCAAAACGAAAGCCAAGATTTCGAGCAGACTTTCAGCGCTAGGGCCCTTCCAAGATCAGACCCACCCGCCAATAGACCCTCGCCGCCCCAGCCACCGACCATTCTGGCTTAACGCGAAGCAGACTCGCGTGCTCCTTCACCAGCATCAGCCTCGCTGCCGGCAAGGCGCCGCGAGTCCATGGGTGATGCGCGTCTGTCAGATCCGCTTGCCTCTCGCGCTTCACAACGATAGGCCAAGACAATTCATTTGTTGTACATGATAGTCGGTGGAGACGCGTACGCACAGCCACCCGAGCCCAAGCACAACCTCGCCGTCGTCGCCTTGTATATATCCTAGGCAACGCCCTGCTGGCAATCACCTGACAACTCTGTATACTCAGCGCAATCCCACATATCAAAACTGCTAATACCTCCGCTCTAATGGCTACGCCGATCATCGAAGCCAGATCTCTTTCATCGCTTACCGCTCTTGCCTCAAATCCACCAGCTTACCCAAGGAATCCTACTCATGAGAGGCACGACCCGCTAGTACTGTACATCGCCCGTGTTCCTGGCAGCAGAGGTACGGCTGTCAACATGTCTTCTCCTACAGTAAACCTAACGTGCTTCAGATGTCTTCTTATCTCCGATGAAGCCGCGGGAAAAGGTGGTGACCGCAGAAGACATACAAAGCTCACTCTATTTCGTCCACGTTGAGCAACCAGAAGATGCTTACCTTGTCGACCCTCCTGGATTCCAGGACCCAGATTATGCGCAAGAGAGCCAATCGTCTTCTAATCCTGTCTCTGCGCCTATCGTCCCAAGGAAAGCAGTACCCGGCATAAACACAGCTCCCATACGGAAGCCCGTTCCTAGCCCTCTGGCTCCTATCAGTAATTACTCCAACAACCAGAACACTGATGCAGGCAACTATGCGCGGAGATCTGCAATGCTCGCCCCAGAGTATAGCCACAGCCCACGACGCTCATTCGATGCAAGCCAGTACCAACAGGAAAACCGAAGACCGACAGCTTCGCCACGTAGACGATCGGAGAACCCGTCACGCTCCAGTGCATCGCTCACCCTTATCCGGCGGGATCCCGCATCTGGAGCGCAATGGAATGTTGCTCGCATTGAGGATCCACCTGTCCTAGATGTCTCGTCGACAATGAATGATCCTGGCATCAAGAAGAAGTTGGGAGCACCGATGTATATCGAAGTTTTCAATCCTGGCTACTCTAAGTTTCTGCATTCCGAAACCACTGACAAGCCCCCTTTAACAACACGGGATAGTGGCATGTCCATCCAGTCACGTAACGCAGGGTCAGAACAGCAGACGGGTGCTCATCTGTCTACGAACGAGAACGTGTTCCGTCGACGCATATGGATGGAAGGATCGCAGCATATAGGCGGCTTTGGACATCGGAAGCTTAATTCGTATGACTACGATACCGGACGTCCTGACTCAAGGGGGAGTTATCGCGCGCAGACCAACTCCACATCGACAGACATGAGACCGTCTCCAACCCCTCCGTTCGTGACTAGGCAAGAACAGTCATATGCTAGCATCCAGGTCTCGGATAGGCAAACCAGTTTTCGTGGTTATGTGTTTACAAGTCCGTGGAACGGACGATGTGAGTTCACCACGGGAGTAGGCGGCGGATCTTTGAAGGTAATGCCACTCCTATCTCAGTGATTGTCAACAGATGATGCTTACTACCCTCGTAGTGTCGACACGTTGTTCCAGGGCTCCAAGGAGCGCCGCCCACAGCCATGACGGTTAGTGAGTTACGATTCAACCTCCCGAGTAGTCCAAAACCCACTACACCCAGAGGCGAAGAAGGCTCAAAACGCTCTTCGTTCTTCCGCAAAGCACGACACAGCCGCAACAATTCCTCTTTATCAGTCAGTCGCGATGACACCACCGAAGACGCTAGAAGTTCGTTGGATCGCTTAGATCTTTCTTTAGGTCAGGAATTCGCAGGTGGCGGGTTTGGTGGCAAGCAAGCGAAGTTGGGAAAGATAATTCTGGAAGACGAAGGCTTGAAAATGATGGACTTATTGGTCGCAGCGAATCTGGGATTGTGGTGGAGAGCCTACGAGAAAGCGCTTGTAAATGGGGGCACTACAGATACTATACAATAAGCTGGCGACGACCGAAACTATGTTGGAGCATAGGATTCTCATAGTGCAAGCCCGGTGTCGCCTTTGGGAGGGTAATTGTCGTGGTGTCTCTCCTAGTTTCAAACGGGTCCGAGACGACACTACTCATTGTGATATGCCATATGATGTATCAGACGGTATGTATAGTGAAGGAACCATCTGACAGCGCTGAACGCGTAGTATCGAGCAGTCACTTTGAGCGTCTCTACATGTTCTAGAGCTGACTTGGTCATGCTGGTGACTTTTCACGGCTGTTCCCCACAACCTATCTATAAAGGTAGATTCACGGTAATCACTCCCTTTATTCACCAGTCCACTTGCACGCACCCCTCTTGAGACCCTTTTTAGAACCAGCCTCTGACTTTCGCATCTCCATTTCAACAAAGGCCCTTGATCACAATCACACCACCACACACGTCGACCAGCTTCGTAGTAAAGTATGGCACGTCCCAAGAAAGCCAGTGTGCCCACAGGATCGTCCTTGTCCGATGGACATGGACGGCGTAAGACTCGCAACGGCGCATCGCAAGAGGAAGAGGAAGATATGCTCGATAACATCACCCTGGCTCCACCGGTCTCACAGCCACCGCCAAAATCGAAACCAATGCTGTCTCGCAAGATTCCTAGCGAGTTCGATCACGTTATACTCAAGGAAGAGGCTGATTGCAATGAATTCATCTCCAAGACTGATGCATCCGGAGATTATCTGCGGGACATGAAAACTCTAGAGGTTCATCTCGACACAACTAAACTGTTCGCATATACGGAGGACCGTTTCGCAATGGCACTCAACAAGCTACACCCACGCGCCGACAACGCTACCAATCCTCACGACTTACAAGCCCTTCTGCTAGTCGTAAAAGGCAACATACTCCTCACGCGTTACAGCTACCACCTCATATCGCCACACCTATCTGCCTTTGTAAACGACAAACTGAAGAAGCTAGCCGATGGCAAACTGTCCGACGAGGAGAGAGATAAGCTACCTTACAAGCTCAACAGCACGGAGAAGCTTCTCGCGACTGCGCTACTTGGCATTCGTGGAGTGAAGCAGGTTTCTATCGAGAGCAAAGGAAAAGGAACGGTTGAAGCAGAGTTCGCGGCGACCATTAAAGCTACGCTGGTCCAGCATCCGGGGACTGATATCTTGGAAGTAAGCGATGAAGAGTCGGAGTTTTCTACACATGCGTTGAACAGGCTTGGTTCGATCTACTCGAATGCGTATTCTGGGGACGCGTTGAACCCATACGCTTCTCTGGCTCCACCGGAAGTAGACCTCGTTGACCATTCGGAGGATTCAGACGATGATTTGCAGACCGCTGCTATCGCAGAACCGCAGAAACATGTCAGACGTAGGCCGAAGAAGGATGTTCCCATCGTAATGTCTGGGCCACGGACGCGTGGAACGATGGCCAAGAAGACAGAAGAGATTGGGGAGAACGACGAGAACAACGATGAAGAGGATGAGGACGAAGCATATGGTCTGGGTCTCGTGCATATGGTTCGAATCTACAAGCAGAAGTCGCGTCCGGGCGATATAGATTCGGAGTCTTCCAGGTACGACGTGTTGCCAGTAGTCCTGACGGCGAGGGAGGAAGCGGTTGAGATGGGCTGGAAAGTATAGCATTGTTTTTACCGAAAGTGTTTGGAAAATGAGACGAATAACTCCAGAGACGGATCGGAATTGATTTAGTGAAACTATGGCTCTCCGTCCTAAGTGTCGAAATGTACTTAGGTATAGTTTAGACGTATTCATGGATACTTCTAACTTGTGTAGAAAAGAAGTATGGTAGAGCTATGTCAATGGAACAAACAAGGGCGTATCAGTCAACAGCAACCCAGTCACGTAGGCCTGCTCAGTTTTTGTCTTGTGGGATGGTTTGCTGGAATTGGTGCACCGCCACAGCGAAGTGAAGGTGGCACCTGGTGGGGTAACTGCTTGTCGTCCGTGCGTAGGTGCCTTGAGCTCGCGGGCGCGGAGAGCTATGTCACCTCCGCCTCGACAAACAACATTTAGTTGCGGCAACATTACACGTTTGTCCTCGCTATTCAACCAAATCCCTCCGTCCAGAACAGGAGCTCTACTGGGAACCGAACAAATACACTGGATCGGAAATACGCAGGCAACAACGATACGATACCCCACCCTGCATCGCCGCCTCCGCCTTGCCTACGTGCTCGAACCACAAGATCCCTCCACACCGACGCGACAATGTCGGCCGAACTCACCTCTATACTGCTGTCGTTCCAGCCAGATAGCCCAGACCTCGCAAAGCGGCGCGAATATGATTCGAAGGCTCGTTCATTTGTCTCGCAACTGAACAATATCCCGTCGTCACAATGGGCCAAGGGCGCAAATACAAACCAAGACGTTCTTTCGGTAAGGATAGCTGACAGTATCAGCCCGGAGGCCGCTGACTTTACAGATACTCAACCCCGCCGTGAACTCAATAGCATACGCCTTTGCTCTCCGCCACCGCATCTCCGCTATCGTCGAGAAGAGAAACGTACCCGATGCACTGCAGCCCGGTGGTACGTTATGGAATCAGCTGGTGCTCTTCCTGGAGACTGCAGACCCTATACAACTACGCTATGTTGGGAAAGAGTGGAGATACCTCGTCGAGCAGACCGAGGCGATTGCGCGGGCATGCGATTCTGTAGGTCGGATAAAATGCTATTCGCTGCATGAGATGCTGACTACTACAGGCGAGCCTGGCTATTGCGCCCATGCGGTCGGCTATGACTCGACTTGATGCTTCCACAGGCACCTTTACTTCAGTCCACCTTTCCTTTATACGTCTATGCATGGAGACGCGATCGTATGCGGCCGCCGAACCGATCCTCGACAACTATATCCACAGCATCCCCCAGAAGATTGCCAACGTCGTCCGTGACGGCCTCGAATACTCAGTGCCATGTGCGGACGTCGCGAGCAGCGGGGAATACATACATCAGAACTCTGGACATTCAGACAAGGTGTCGCTGACGGATATAGAAGAGTACTATGTTCTAGGTGCTCAGGTATATCTGGGCCTTCGGCAATTCAAGAAGGCGAAACAATTTCTGGAGCACGTGCTGGTTATACCTACGACCAAAACAGCGAACGGCTTGATGCTGGAGGCGTACAAGAAGTGGGTGTTGGTGAGCTGTCTCGTAGAGGGAAAGGTATGTTGCAACCAAGCAGTATATCGCGGACCAAGCTGACATTCGCAGGTGGGCACTGCACCACGGACCTCAAATGGAAGCGCGATCAAAGATATCAAGGCTGCATCGAAAGCCTACGAAGCCCTGGCGGACGCATATGAGGAGCTGGACAACATGTCGAAGCTGAAGGCTCAGGTGCAGGCGGGTAGTGAGGTTTGGGCAGAGGTATGGTCATGATAAACTGCAAAACATGCAACGCTTGTTTCATGAATACTAACAAGACGTGAAGGATGGCAACGCTGGTCTCGTCAACGAACTCATCAGCAGCCAGACACGGGCTTACGTTTCGCGGCTGTCACGGACGTACTCGGCAATTCCAGTCTCAAACATTGCGCACCATCTGGGGGCACCTGCGGATGAGATCGCCGGATACATCGACACATTGATCAAGGATGGGCACTTGAACGCACGGCTAGAGGAGACGGACAAGGCGAATGCGGGGATCGTACTACGTTTCTTCTTGGACCCGACGCAAGGGCCTCTGGCCAAGAGTGAGAAGCAGCAGCAACAAGCGCTGTTTGAGCAGACGCGCCGTACCAACATGCTCGCCGAGCAAGTCAAGGACGCCGACTACCGAATGACGCTTACTAAAGAGTACGTTGAGAACCAGAAGCGGCTGAACAAGAGGCAGACCAACAACGGCGATGCCATGGACACGGCTTGGGACGACGGCCTCGAAGCTGAAGAGGACATGATGACAGATTTGCACTGAAGATGAAGAGCGATGGTAGACGCATAGCAAGGGTGATTACAAGTTCACTACATGGAAGTGGAAGACCGAAGAGACGGTGACTAGTGCTGACGAAGTCGAGCGTTTGGCAGGGTTGGGCATGATAAATGTCCATGACGCGATAACGGTAATGCATGAAACGAGAGATGGCGGATCACAAACAGCAGACATGATCAAGGACGGACCATGAAGGCTGGCAAAGCAGCCTATAGAAGGCTGCGGGGAGGCGAAAACGATGACGGACGGTCCTAATACAGACATGATGGTTTCTGTAGCGAGAAGAATCACGAAAAGAAATCATGAAGCCACCAACGTGCCACGTGTTGAGAAGTTGGGTGATGCAGACTTGCTTGTTGCAATGCTTTTCGTGTCAGAAATGGCGGTAGTGGAGCGCGAATTTGGAAGTTTAGGCGTGTGTCAGTATCAGTCGATTATCGTATACGCGATACGACCGCGCTGCTGGGACCGTGTTTGATAGCAGGCGCGACATGGGCCTCTGGAGCGCGTGGCAAACGGACCGAATTGGCGAATTGCGATGTACGGGCGTCGGGCTGCCATGAGCGCAACTTGCGCAAGCGATTGCGAACGGGTTGGGTTTGTAGTCAGAGGTTACTTTTGACACGTCGTGTTGAGTAAACAATACCATCGCACGACATGCAATTGTCGGCATCGGATTCGGGAGGATTGTGAGGCGCCGTCGGGATTGAGCATTGGACGTTTGTTTTTGTTGCAATGGGAAACGGAAGTGGAGAGGGGACGGCGAACGGGGAACGGGGAAGAAGCATGATGTGGACTAAGGCAGGCTAGAAGAAGGGACTACAGATCGCCGATGGGTGGTGAGATGGCACAGATGAGAGGGTCATGGAGCAGATTGATAGTTCTGCGGCAAGTCAGGAACCCGGTGTTGTGCTTTGGAGGAGTGTAGAGCAGGCCGGAGACTGGGCATCCATCAAGCGCAGCCACAGGGCCTAGCTGCTAGTCTGTTCCTGCAGCAGAGGCCAGGGTCCAATTGGGAAGACCATCTGAAACGTACTGTCTGGGAGGGTAGTAGGTAATGGAATCTTCAGGCCGCCCAACGAGGCCGCCCACTGCAGACACGATGGCGAGGCGGGACGTCTAGAGCCCCTAAAGCAGAGGGACTAGGCCGAGGGATTTGCGTGCAGCGTGTCGTGGGCTCAGTTGGTGTTCGTCCGGGCACTGGCTAGCACGATAGAGAGAGGCAGCCGGGTCGGCCGGGCAGGACAGGGGTAGAGACCCTCTGTGCTAAGCCGGGTTTGGAAGACCCCTGGGTGGCTTTGCGGGTTGCGACTTGGCGGCACTGTGCTCTCCACAGGCGGCTGCTCGTCGCTGCGTACGACATATTCGAGATACACAGCACATTGCACCACCGCTCGCGAGCACGCCGCCCGCCGCACCGCCTCCAAGCACCTCCGCCGCCCGCCTGAGCGCGTTCCTGCTTGTGGCAACCATGCCTGCATGCGCCGTGCATTAACCGCTGGCTTGGCCTGAGACACGCTTTCCTGCCTCGACACCCGTCGACGTCGACGCCGACAACATGAATATCCAGGCCACGCCGCCCCCGGCCACGACCTCACGACGCCGCTCGAGCGCTGCCAACGGCGCCGCAGAGGCCATTGCCGCCGCCGCCACTGCCTCTGCCAACCTGAACCGCTGGTCCCAGGCTCCGGGCACCACGGCCAGCAGGAGCGACCACCCGCACCACCAGCACCACCCGAGTTTCTCGCGCAAGCTGAGCATCACCACGCCCAACACCGCCGCGCCTGCCACTGCCGCCAATGGCCCCGAATCCCCCGCTCGCATCGCCAATTCTGCCCCTCGCTCGCCCACCGCGAGCCCCCGCCGACACCGCCCACGCTCGCCCGCATACGACCCCCCATCCGCCGTGACAGCCGCCCCAAAGGTGCCCCAGCTGCCCCCGATCCTGCTGCCCTCGACCGTCTACGACCCCAACACCCCCACGAGCACCTCGACCACCAACAACTCGCCCTCGGCATCTAGCCTCTTTACTCCGAACCTGCTCTCCGGCCTCCAGCAGCGCGACTACTTCAACTCGAAACCCACGCAGCCGCCGCCCTCCCAGAGGCCCCCGTCTCGCACCACCAAGGCCGAAAAGGTGTTGGGCAAGTCGCCCCTCGGGTCGCCTGCGGTCCTTCAGGAGGCTGACCCAAGGCACGACTCCACTTCGGGCGCAGCTCGGCCCTCTACAGCACGCAGACCCTCCGTTGCAGCACCCAGGGATCCCGTCCAAAAGCCCCCACCGAGTGCGGGTCACAGACCAGCCGCCTCGCGGGACCACTCCAGAAGTCAGAGCAGAGAACAGTTCAGGTCCGGGAGCAGAGCCCATGTCCGCAGCCCCAGCAGGGATCACCATCGCAACGAGAGCAACGCCAGCGCTAGGCTAGACGACAGCTACCAGGGCACGCCTCCCCGCACACGCGAGCGCAGAGAGAAGGACAAGAAGACGATGCTGTCGCGTGCCCTGCAAAAGGCGAACACCGCTGTCCTGCTCGACAATGCGCAAAACTTCGAGGGCGCCATGGAGGCGTACGAGGATGCCTGCAAGCTCCTCCAGCAGGTCATGATCCGCAGCTCGCAGGAAGAGGACAGGCGGAAGCTGGACGCCATTGTAAGTCACTGCATACATTATCTGTAAGCATTCACCACTAACT